GGAGCTAGCAAGGCAGTCCATCGACAGAAGGCAGGATGTAAACCCACCGCCAAGAGGCAGGAAGCCAGTCCAACGAGAGGAGGCAGGAAGTCAAACAATCGAAAGGAGGCAGGAAGTCAGACCATCGACAGGAGGTACATGTAGGAGGCCAAATGATCGAGAGAAGGCAGGAAGCCAAATGATCGAGAGAGGCAGGTAGCCAGTTCATCTAGACGAAGACCTTATGTAGCTTTATTTCAGATTTACTCCTTCAAAGTTGATGCTGTGGTTTATTTTATCTATTTCACACCCTTATACTATTTTTTAAACAATATGCTATCTGACGATATTTAACGATATCCTTCATTGAAAGGATGCATCACAAAATTACAAAGAAAACAAGAGAACACCAGCATATAAGCAGAAATGTCATACCAACCCAAATTGATAATATTAGGGAAGAATATGAATAAAGGAAAGATTTAATTGAGAATAAAGAAAAATACAAGGAATATTCAAAAGTGAGGAACACATGTTAGCCGCTATGTCTGTCCGGGACTAAAAATTCGGATTTGCTTAAATATTTACATGTCCCCCTATTTGATTCCAACGCCCAGGTTTAAGGTCACATAAGGTCGAAGGTCAAATGTGTTGTTCGGACCATACCTTATGACACTCTGAAAAAAAAAATGAAATTTTAGGAAAATTTGTAAGATGGCAAGACGGTGTTTCACCGACAACCTTTCGGTCTGTTTGCTTAATGTCAAGGTCAATCGAACTAAAACGTATAATACATCGTCCAGATTATTACCTCTGACTAGCTGACGATAACTTAATAGCAATTTAGGGGGGGGGGGGGGGGGGGGGGGGGGAGCAGGATGGCAAGGCGGTGTATCACGTATAACTTTTGGGTATGTGAGCCCAAATTCAAGGTTGCAGAGCTAAATGAGTTCTTGTAAATAATAGGATACATGGAGCATGGCAGGATGGTGTACTGTGTACATTTATTATATCTCAAGATGGCTTAATGAAAGTTAGGAATACATTGTACATGCAGGGTGACAAGGTGGTGTGTCGTGCACAACTTCTGGCTCCGTTTGCCTAAGGTCAAGATCACATTAAAGTCAAATGTCAAATTAATTTACCAGGCCATAATATCTGACTCCGTGAATATATCAAAATAAAATCCTTTAGATATATCTAAGTGGTAAAGGCGATGCTTCCCATATCTGATCTGGGTCTGTACACCCAAGGTAAATGTCAAAGTTCAAATTCATTTTCTGTTTGATAACCTCTGTCTAACTGAGTATAACTCGATGGAATTAAGAGATATATGTACGATTTGAAGTCAGTATGTCACACCCAAGGTCAACGCAACATTGAAGTCAAAGGTCAAAAATATTCTTTGCCCTAACTTTTTACATGCTTTGTGAAATTTTAAAGAAATATAGAAAGTGGCAATGCATTGTGTTACATACCATTTTGGGTCCGTGTTTGGTCGAATTCTCACTAAGTTCAAAGTTCACGATTTGTTAAGTCGTCTTCACTTGTATATCTCCAAAGGTAAATTGAGAATGAAAAAAGTTATTTGTTGAGTCCGTTCACTTCACAGTGTCCAGTTATTTCAAATATAAAAATGGCAACAGTAATGATAAATTTCATATCAAGATATGTAACACTAGACCTTTATTTAAGTCCTGACTACCTACCGGGGAGCAAAATTTACCAATTTTACTGATTCTTGGTTAATAGATGTCGCCATATCCTGTCATAACCTTTATTGGTTAGTATCTTGTCGGCATCCATTGTAATCAATTTCAAAGTTAATTTGTATGGTTTCGCCTTTTTTGTTTTCCAATAATAGAATAAAGGAACATAATTCTGATTGGCATGATATCCACTCCAATAGGAAGCCTTACATCAGATAATGGTTCTCCAACCATTCTTGTCTGTTCTATCTCTATAAGGACGGATACTAAGACTAACAAGGGCACCAACGTCTGCAACCCATCATACCACGGTCCACTTGTAGTAGATAAAAGAGTTAAACGACTTTACCCGATCGTACCAAGACTGCATCCATCCTATTTTGTGCGACAGGCAATATTTACCACAGTCACGCCAATAATGTTTGGTCATAGAAACAGGTATCATTACTTGATCGTTTCGTGACTGACGTGGTCATAGCGACAGGGGACGCTTTAATTTGTAATTAACATTGCAATAAATTGTTTTCGTATTTGTGATGGATTTTCATTCCAGATATTCTGAAATATTAAAGTTTATTCAGGATGGTCAGTCAAATTTTCACAAAAAAATATACTGATGCCTGGTCATGGTCGACAATAGACATTTCAACAAGTGATTTCGATTATTTTCATTTCAAATTAATTTCATGGTATTTATATACTTTTGGATTAGGCAAAGGCATCACATGTACATATTAAAATCTTTTTTTCAGAAGGTAGAACACATATTTCAGACATGCATAACCACATATAGGCATAGTACATACAGAACATGTTTATTTAAGATATGATAAGTTGTACAGATATATTTAGATAAATAGAAGAAAACTAGAACCAGTTTGCTAGAATATTAATACATGCACACCGCGTTAACAATTAGAAAACCGGATATGTTAATACAATCTTTTGTTTAGTTGGAGGCAAATCAAAAGTTACTGTAACTATACAAAGTGTCATACAAACCTATTACACTAGATTAGTATGAATGATATAGAAGTAAATACAGTATAGGTTAAAACCTTTCAGATTTTTCAATATATTCCAGGAAGCAAGAGAAAATACGTTTATCTAATTCAATGCTAAGGTTTATGTCTCCTTTAGTGAGAATATTTGTATCTACGATGATGGTGTCAATCTCGTTAGTGAATGAAAGACAAAAGACTTGCCTCCATTACCGTATCTGGGCAATTGAGGAAGAAGTGACTGACGTTATTGCATAGTTGACATACTTTTATATTACAAATACAGTCTGGCTTGTTCCATGATTTCGATTATGTTTGATAAACAGCGAAACAGCATTCAAAAAGTGCGATAAAGACCACAAGGTAATACCTCAGTATACTCATTGAACTAAGAGGAACTAATGAGAGTTTCACAAGGGAACCCTAACAATACATGAATAATATGACCAGGTGTTCCAGAAGGGGAAGCGTTTTATTTTGCTTCATCGAATTCAAGTGATTTCAAGCCTACATTTCGCTCAACTCTGTGTGGTAAATATGTTTGTCGACATTCGATCTTTATCGCAGAAATTGTGATATTCGGTACAAACCCGTTAGTATCGAACTACTTGTGACATGCAAACCCCTCTGGTCGGTAAATCTAATTGATCGCACTCATCATACATCTTAGTCCCAGTTGGTCATTGTGTTAGTAAAGATCGAAGAACGTGGCTGATGTGTAATTGAAGTTGCCTTAGTAGTAGGTTCAGATGGAATTTACCATCGGCGCAGTCGATAGCAGTCGTGCTATTTACAGACAACACATCGTCAGTTTATCTAAAAGTGGAAATGTCGGACTTGCTAACGTCTGTGTGACCTGATAAGCTGTTTCGCATTGAAACACAAATAAGTCGGTCAATATTGGGTTAATGGGTCCATGCGGTGTACAGAGTGGTAAGGTTAAATGGTTCAAAAGAAGAGAATTTAATGTTTAAAATTGATCATCAGATCTGTTCCTAAGGGTATGTGCTAGCTCAATATGACTGAAACTCTCTTTTTACCTTTGTTTATTAAAGACTTCTGTCATGTGTGAACTTTCTGTGTTTGACAGAAAAACTAACGTAACAGTTGAAAGCATGATGTTCTACAGAGTTTAAATTGTGCATTTATTTTCGAGCTTGTATTGAAATAAGGTTTGAATAGTGCATTTATTTTCGAGCTAGTATTAAAATAAGGTTTGAATAGTGCATTTATTTTCGAGCTTGTATTGAAATCAGGTTTGTACAGTGCATTTATTTCGAGCTTGTATTGAAATAAGGTTTGAATAGTGCATTTATTTTCGAGCTTGTATTGAAATAACGTTTGAATAGTGCATTCATTTTCGAGCTTGTATTGAAATAAGGTTTGCATAATGCATTCGTTTTCGAGCTTGTATTGAAATAAGGTTTGCATAATGCATTTATTTTCGAGCTTGTATTAAAATAAAGTTTGCATAATGCATTCATTTTCGAGCTTGTATTGAAATAAGGTTTGCATAATACATTCATTTTCGAGCTTGTATTGAAATAAGGTTTGCATAATGCATTCGTTTTCGAGCTTGTATTGAAATAAGGTTTGAATAGTGCATTTATTTTCGAGCTTGTATTGAAATAAAGTTTGCTTAATGCATTCATTTTCGAGCTTGTATTGAAACAAGGTTAGAATAGTGCATTCATTTTCGAGCTTGTATTGAAATAAGGTTTGCATAATACATTCATTTTCGAGCTTGTATTGAAATAAGGTTAGAATAGTGCATTTATTTTCGAGCTTGTATTGAAATAAGGTTTGCATAATACATTAATTTCCGAGCTTTTATTGCAATAAGAAAAATCTAATTCGAATGCTGGTTATGATTCAATAAGGAAGAGAAACCTTCATATCTTTCTTCTACCAGAACCTCAATAATTCTATGAACATAGCAAACAAAAGAAACAAATTGCAAAGAATATATATCAACCCCATGCTACTTCGATTTGTGTTGAAAACAATATCACTTTTTTCAAAAGAGCAAATATTCTGTTAACATTGGATATTGATGTAATCTCGGAAAGTCAGTATGATTTCCCCATTTACTCGAAAAACTTCTAGTTTGTCGGGGACTTGGACGTTAAACAACAAAGTGTTTCGGAAATAACACAGAAAATAACCAGTCAATCATACTGCAGTTGTTCTCATGAGCTGTCATAAAAAAGGGGTAGAATTACATCAAAGAAACCCCATTTACTCTATCATCTAATTCGTATGGAAGATGTATTATGATAAACATTTTAGCGTAAATGAGTTGTTTGTTTACCTGAATAGGATTGTTGTTTACAGGTGAGTGCACTTTGGAGGCTTCACGTATCATATCTAAAGAGAAGTGAGCCACCTCCACAGCGTGGTTTTTGTTCACCTCTGGGACACCACTTACAATCATGTATGCATCTCCAATTGTCTCCACCTACCGAGAAATAGAAGCTAATTACGTATGTCAAAATAGGGGTGTGCAACTACCATCAAATAAAAAGTATATATACTAGTTAAAAAATTATTTCATTAATTTCGTAGCTTTAAAATCATTTTTACTGTTACAGGGACACATCTTGGATGTTAACAATAATATTGCCTTCTACCTTTTTCAGTCACAACACCATTTTTTCTTCGTCTTTGTTTTTCACAGTTAAAAGACTCCGACTGTAGAATTTATAACCACATAAACAAGGGTTTTCTGTTAAGATGGGAACAACAAACTGAAGACTGGTGGCGTCTTAAAGGGGCGTTAAACTCCCGCGTCAGTAACACGTGGCTAGATGGTCGACCATTGTAACATAATAACTGTTTGCTTCCTACCTTGTATACATCGTGTTTGTTGGTGGATTGATCAAAGCGTTGGTACAGATTGTTCAGCATGCTGACAATCTGAAGAGGTGTACTAGCCGCCGCTATGTTAGTGAATGTCACAATATCACTGAACAGGATGGTCACGGAGGCAAACTTCTCTAAAAACAAAGGTCATAAATGTCACAATATCACTGAACAGGATGGTAACGGAGGCAAACTTCTCTAAAAACAACAGTCATAAATGTCATGATATCGCTGAACAGGATTGTCACGGAGGCAAACTTCTCTAAAAACAAAAGACATAAATGTCACGATATCACTGAACAGGATGGTAACGGAGGCAAACTTCTCTAAAAACAAAAGTCATAAATGTCACATTATCACTGAACAAGATGGTAACGGAGGCAAACTTCTCTAAAAACAACAGTCATAAATGTCATGATATCGCTGAACAGGTTTGTCACGGAGGCAAACTTCTCTAAAAACAAAAGACATAAATGTCACGATATCGCTGAACAGGATGGTAACGGAAGCAAACTTCTCTAAAAACAAAAGTCATAAATGTCACAATATCACTGAACAAGATGGTAACGGAGGCAAACTTCTCTAAAAACAAAACTCATAAATGTCACAATATCGCTGAACAGGATTGTCACGGAGACAAACTTCTCTAAAAACAAAAGTCATAAATGTCACATTATCACTGAACAGGATGGTAACGGAGGCAAACTTTTCTAAAAACAACAGTCATAAATGTCACGATATCACTGAACAGGATGGTAACGGAAGCAAACTTCTCTAAAAACAAAAGTCATAAATGTCACAATATCACTGAACAGGATGGTAACGGAGGCAAACTTTTCTAAAAACAACAGTCATAAATGTCGCGATATCACTGAACAGGATGGTAACGGAAGCAAACTTCTCTAAAAACAAAACTCATAAATGTCACAATATCACTGAACAGGATGGTCACGGAGGCAAACTTCTCTAAAAACAAAAGTCATAAATGTCACAATATCACTGAACAGGAAGGTAACGGAGGCAAACTTCCCTAAAAACAACAGTCATAAATGTCACGATATCGCTAAACAGGATTTTCACGGAGGCAAACTTCCCTAAAAACAAAAGTCATAAATGTCATGATATCGCTGAACAGGATGGTAACGGAGGCAAACTTATCTAAAAACAAAAGTCATAAATGTCACAATATCACTGAACAGGATGGTAACGGAGGCAAACTTCCCTAAAAACAACAGTTATAAATGTCACGATATTGCTAAACAGGATTGTCACGGAGGCAAACTTCCCTAAAAACAAAAGTCATAAATGTCATGATACCGCTGAACAGGATTGTCACGGAGGCAAACTTTTCTACAAAAAAAGTCATAAATGTCACGATATCGCTGAACAGAATTGTCACGGAGGCAACTTCCCTAAAAACAAAAGTCATAAATGTCACGATATCACTGAACAGGATGGTAACGGAGGCAAACTTCTCTAAAAACAAAAGTCATAAATGTCACGATATCGCTAAACAGGATTGTCACGGAGGCAAACTTCCCTAAAATCAAAAGTCATAAATGTCACGATATCGCTAAACAGGATGGTCATGAAGCTATCTTCTCTAAAAACAAAAGTCATAAATGTCACGATATCGCTAAACAGGATGGTCATGAAGCTATCTTCTCTAGGAACAAAAGTCATAAATGTTACGATATATATAAATATCACACATGCATGATGACATTCGACTTACAGCGATGATTTGGTACGTACATACCTCTTCATACAAGATTAAGTTGTTTTTCACTTGTTTCAAAGGCTATGATTGCGTCTTTTTGTACCATCTTTAGATTTGTTGTTTCCTAATGCTTAGTCTTATTTTTCTTGTTTGTAAAATAACTATTTATCAGTTCTTTTTAGCATATTTGAGATCATCCTTTACATTTGGCCACGTTTCATGTAACTGCTTAAGCAAAATGATTATTTAGCTGGTTATAAAATAGGTTATAAATAGGTTGTATTTTTGGAACACGGACACGACTGGCGTGTCACCTCCTGTAGACAACATTCCTGACGACATATGTTTTGTATTTGAATACAAATACAGCACTCGGGAACAGATGGAGGAGACGCTGTTTGCCCTTGACAACAGTTCTTTGGTATCAATAGCATAAAGGATACAGAGATTTTTATTCAAATTTTATTGAAATTTATTAAAATTACCTCGTAGATGCTGAAAGAGTTGATACACTTCCTAATGTATGACAAGGCAAATCGAGACTACCTATTTTTTGTTTTATTCATTCTGTTCGAATTATTTTAGTATTTGCTATCAATTTCAAATTCAAGCTTGGAGTGAAAAATGATGTCTTTAATTTCTTTATATTAAAAATTAAATATATAAACTATAACAATGCAAGGGCGAAATCGACGTTAATATATAAAGTTTAACAATACAATGACAAAATCGACGTAAATATATAAACTATACCAGTACAATGGCAAAATCGACGTAAATATATAAACTTTAACAACACAAAGGCGAAATCGACGTAAATGAATAAACTATAACAATAGAAAGGCGACATCGACGTAAATATATAAACTTTTACAATACAAGGGCGAAATCGACGTAAATATATAAACTTAACAATACAAGGACGAAATCGACGTAAATATATAAACTTTAACAATGCAAGGGCGAAATCGACGTAAATTATAAACTATAACAATGCAAGGGTGAAATCGACCTAAATGTATAAACTATAACAATACAAGGGCGAAATCGACGTTAATATATAAACTTAACAATACAAGGACGAAATCGACGTTAATGTATAAACTTTAACAATGCAAGGACGAAATAGACGTAAATATATAAACTTAACAATGCAAGGGCGAAATCGACGTAAATGTATAAACTATACCAGTGCAAGGGCGAAATCGACGTAAACATATAAACTATACCAGTACAAGGACGCAATCAACGTAGATATATAAACTATACCAGTACAAGGGCGAAATCGACGTAAATATATAAACTATACCTGTACAAGGGCGAAAAAGACGTTAATATATAAACTTTAACAATACAAGGGCGAAATCGACATAAATATATAAACAATATCAGAACAAGGGCGAAATCGACGTAAATGTATAAACTATACCAGTGCAAGGGCGAAATCGACGTAAACATATAAACTATATCATTACAAGGGCGAAATCGACGTAAATATATAAACTATACCAGTACAAGGGCGAAATCGATGTAAATATATAAACTATATCAGTACAAGGGCAAAATCTACGTAAATATATAAACTATACCAGTACAAGGGCGAAATCGACGTAAATATATAAACTTTAACAATACAAGGGCGAAATCGACGTTAATATATAAACTGTACCAGTACAAGGGCGAAATCGATGTAAATATATAAACTATATCAGTACAAGGGCAAAATCTACGTAAATAAATAAACTATACCAGTACAAGGGCGAAATCGACGTAAATATATAAACTTTAACAAAACAAGGGCGAAATCGACGTAAATATATAAACATTAACAATACAAGGGCGAAACCGACGTAAATGTACGTTATAAACTATACCAGTACAAGGGCGAAATCGACGTAAATATAAAAACTTTAACAATACAAGGGCGACATCGACATAAATATATAAACAATATCAGAACAAGGGGGAAATCGACGTAAATGTATAAACTATACCAGTGCAAGGGCGAAATCGACATAAACATATAAACTATATCAGAACAAGGGCGAAATCGACGTTAATATATAAACTATACCAGTACACGGGCGAAATCGATGTAAATATATAAACTATACCAGTACAAGGGCGACATCGACGTAAATATATAAACTATATCAGTAAAAGGGCGACATCGACGTAAATATATAAACTTTAACAATACAAGGGCGAAATCGACGTAAATGTATAAACTATACCAGTACAAGGGTGAAATCGACGTAAATATACAAACTTGAACAATACAAGGGCAGAATTGACGTAAATATATAAACTTTATCAGTACAAGGGCGAAATCGACGTAAATATATAAACTATACCAGAACAAGGGCGAAATCGACGTAAACATATAAACTATACCAGTGCAAGGGCAAAATCGACGTAAACATATAAACTTTACCAGTACAAGTGCGAAATCGACGTAAATGCATAAACTATACCAGTGCAAGGGCAAAATCGACGCAAACATAAAAACTTTACCAGTACAAGTGCGAAATCGACGTAAATG